TAAGTCCTTGAGGTAACATGTAGAGGAGAAAAAGGATAGGACCCAGAACTGAACCCTGCGGTATCCCACATATCAGATCCTTAGAATGTGACATAAACTGATTTGCAAAAACACTAAAAGATCTGTTGGAGAGGTACGACTGAAACCACTTCAAAGCCAGACTACGTCCCGGAGCCTGTTAATCAGGATGGTATGGTCAATGGTGTCAAAGGCAGATGCCAAGTCCAACAAAACCATGACTGTGAATGCTCCAGAGTCAGCTGACATCATAATATCACTAGAGACTTTAAGTAATGTGGTTTCTCTTGAGTGACTTTTACGGAAACCTTTTCTCATAAATTTCATGTTTTCCTAAAAAAGTGGTAAATTGATCTGTAACTACTTTTTCCAGAATTTTCGACAATAATGGAAGCTTAGAGATAGGCCTATAATTCTTAAGCTGAGTTGGATCCAAACTGCTCTTTTTTAATATGGGCTCAACAACAGCATGCTTACAGAACCTAGAGACGACGCCTGTTAAAAGAGACGCATTGCATATCTCTACAATAGATGGGCCAATGGCAGAGAGAGCATTTTTAAACAGCCCAGCAGGTAAAATGTCATTTTAACCACTTTTACGTGGTCTTGGTTTTGTCTTGGTCTCGACGGACTTTTGTCTTGGTCTTGTCTTGGTCTTGACAGACTTTGGTCTCGGTCTTGGTCTCGGTCTTGCTCTGTCAGATCGACATAGTGTTCGGGGGGATTTGGAGTCAACCATCGGCGGAGCGAGGCAATGGCTTAAGACCGGGTCATTTTTTTCAGAAGCCCAGGGTCTTTTGGAGTGTGATTTGTTTCATAGTTAGATGCTTGACTGACAACTGTATAAAACAAAAACTACACACAATATTCCAAGCACATAGCGCACCGTTGTAAATTCCCCCTAATTTTGGTATGATCCGAGCTCAGGCACTGGGCGACTGAGCACAGCACCCATGTGAGCGAGGGGAGAGAAGCTGCTGCCTGCAAGTTTGCTGCAGACAGAGGAGAGCTTAAGTTTGACCAGGAACCAAAGCAAATCATTCGTACTGTACAAATAATGTAAATATGATGGTGTATCACAAAAGATTGATATCAAACTGATCACTTGACTAGTATACCTATATTACGTTACTTGCTCTTCGAGTGAATCAACAAATGGCGAAATGAAAAGCCGAACAACAACAATGCTGTTTTTTAGAGTCTTAGCTTACATGTGTGTTTATTTCATATTTTCAGTTGTTACCCTCCACGGCTAAACAAAGCACTCTAAATCGGCTTCAGTTATGTACTAATGAGCACAACAATGGACATAAGGAACTTCTTTCAAAGAAAAATCTCAGGTAGATGTTATTTTATATATGATGCTTTGTATGTTGTTCAGTATATTTCTATGCAAAACAAGAGGAATTTCAATACACAGCAGTATATTCACAGTTGAAACCGGATGTTTACATACACTTTAGGGAGAAAACATAAAAACATTTTTTCACTGTTAAATATGAATTTAGAGTAAACTTGTTTTGTTTTAGATAAATAAATATTGAAATATCTTTTCAATTAGTTAAATGTCAGAATAAAGCGAGAGAGAGCTGTCTATTTTGTATCACTTTCATCAAATTTAGGAGTACATGTATACTAAGTTTATTGTTAATTAATGAGAAAACTCCAGACCATTCCATTCTGAGCTTAAGAAGGTTCTGATTGGTTGGTAGAGTCCATGTGAGTAAATTGGTGGCACATCTGTGGATGCATATAAGGCACCCCCAAAACACAGAGCCTGTTTCTTTGACATGGGAAAATCAAGAGATATCAACCAAAACACCAGGAAAAGAACTTTGGACCTCCATAAGTGTGGCTCAATTTTGAATACAATTTGGTGCCATTTCAAATAAGAAATACAGATGATTTACGTCTGTTTTTACGATTTTACTCTTAAATTTAACAAATATGTTTTTTATATTTATCAAACTAAAAAAATAAACATTTAGTCTGATTTGGTGTTCCAATTAAAAAAGTGTTTGTGTTTTTAGCTGAAGAGTATATAAATATCTGGTTACAACTGTATATTTGATGATGTTGGTGTTTGGTTTGATTGTCAGCACAGAGAGAGAGAGAGGAACAGAGAGGGATATGGAGAGGAGAATGAGGACAGAACAGAGATGGAACAAGAGCCAGGTGAGACACACATGTTAGTCAAATGGTTGTTTCCCAAAACTCAGAACATGTATCTAGTACCTAGTGTTTCTTTTTAGATACCATTTGTTACTTTTCAAATTCTATATTTATTAAGTTATGCAGGCTTGTTTGCACAACAAGGGTAAATAATTATATAAACTTTCCTGAATCTAAATAGTGTACTTTGGTAGAATTAAAAAATGAGTTTAGTGCAGGTCTATGATGATTTTTAGTGCAACTATCATGTAGTTTTGATTCTGGTTCTGTTTTGGTTAAGTCCTAAGTAGTCCTGATTTTGAACTGTTGTAGTCCTGTTTTAATTCTGGATCAGTTCTGGGTCTGGTTGAACTGGGCTTTAGTCCCTGTGTCTTGATACAGCCTCGACTTTGTTCTGCCTTGCTGCTTAATTAAAAAACTAGTTTAAGGTATCCTGCATATGTGATATATATAAACAGAGAGGGTGATGAACACGACAGTCAAGTGGAGCGTGCGTCTGTCCTCTCAGTAAGTGAGTGAGACAGTAGACAGCGGTGAGGAGGGCTGTGCGAAAGCAAAAACACATAAATATGCCTGACACTCGTAAATGAAGCAGCATCTGGCTGCAGTTTAAAGACTTTTTTGTCTTGGTCTTGGTCTCATCTCGACTTGGTCTCGGTCGTGGTCTCATCTCGACTTGGTCTTGGTCTTGTCTTGGTCTCGGTTTAGGTGGTCTTGACTACAAGTCTAATCATTGGGTTAAACACTGACAGTAAATGACGGGGAGGTGGCCCAGAGGCACAAACAGATGGTATTGAAGAACCAATGCTCATACGGACATTATAAACAATAGAATTTATGGAGTCAAACAGTACCTTGGAATTTCTCTGCTTGATGAGATTAACTGAGAAAAATATCGTGATTTGGCTATTTTTATAGTTTCATGTACGGAAACCCAAGGTTCTCTAAGGTGGAGCCTGTGAACTTCGAGTTTAGTCGATTTCCAAAGGCATTCTACTTTTCTACAGAGTCTTTTGACCTTCCTTACGTCATCATTTATCCATGGATGAGCTCTTTTTGAGGCAGCAATGACAGATTTCATAGGTGCCACTGAATTTAAAATCTCCAAGCAGTGATTATTAAAACACTGTGTAGCAACATCAGCATCAGTGCAGCCACTGATCACATGAGGGTCCAACAAATTAGAAAACTTCAAAGCAACGTCCTGATTTATGAACCGCTTATGGAACATGAGATTAGAGGTTGGTGTGTACAGAGGGAAGCTAAGATTAAAAGTAACACAGGAATGGTCACTCATTTATATGTCCTTAATCCAGACATTAGTTATGTCTAAGCCAAGAGAAAACACAAGGTCCAAGGTGTGGCCTTTAACAGGGTGGGTCCAGAGACATGCTGAATAAAATTAAAAGAGTCTGTAATGGATAGAAAGTCACAGGCCATGCTACAGCTAAGATCATCCACATGCAGGTTGAAATCCCCAATCATTAAGATCTTCTCCAGTTTAATAATGGAAGATAAAAAGTCTGTAAAATCTTGAATAAAAACACCAGCAGGGCCTGGAGGGCAGTAAATTAAAACACAATAAAATATATCTGATAAGAAGTTGTGACTCAAAGGAAGGGAAAATCTCAGAGTCCATAACCCTGCAAGAAAAATTATCTTGGTGAACGGTGACCAGACCACCACCACGACGGTCCAAACGCGGAGTCCCGATGAAGCGACAGCCGACCAGGCAGAGCTCATTAAGGTGGATACATTCATTCTCCAGCTGCCAAGATTCCATGAGAAACATGAAGTCCAGACTATTACTGCTAAAAAAAAGTCATTCAGTACAAATTGGCTGTAGAGCGAGCGTTTAGGAGAGCGATCTGAAGCAGAGGTGACAGTCTGATGTCATCAACAGCTGACTGATGGGGAATTGACAGCAGACACCTGGAATGAGGACGTAGTCTTCCGGTACCCCTAGCTGTGGAACTGTGGTCTTGTAGAATACCAGGCTAAGGTGAAAAAAATTCCGCATTTCCAGAATTGACGCCGATCGAGGTAATCGTTCTGTTCGCCCGTGGCGAAAACCCGGGTAGGTGATAACCGATCGGCATTATCAGCGTCCTGGAGGGGAACCAGTACCAGATACCGGAGATGTTCTCTACCATGGAGCGGAAGAAATCCTCTCTGTCGGGTCCATTTCCTTTTAGCCCGGACACCAGACCTACCAACCCTTCTAGACGATCTCCTTACCATTTGTTCTTGCTCCTGGGATTCTGCTTGGAGCGAAGAACAGGTACAGGTAGTCGGGAGAGGGAGGAGGGCAGACAAATGGAGGAGGGAAAGCCTTGTGGTAGCTCTACCAGCTGTCAAAAGTTTTTTCCATACATAGTTTGATACTCAACAATATATGTGAACTGTAGATTCGAGTAGCAAATAAACCTTCATAATATACAACAGATGAGATGACAAGATAAAAAACAATATACTGAAGCAGTTGACAAACACACTCAGCAGCAACAGCAGCCAAGCTGAACACAAGCGCCATCTTCATCAACCAAATCCTTGCAGTTATCATTATTGTTAGTCAAGAATAAATATTTATTTCATATCTCATAAATATTTAAAGTAGAGTAGAGATGGTGTTCTAAGCAATAGAAAACTATTCCTGTGTTTGACTGTTCATGTCATGTTTGCATGAAATAAACGGGAGTTTAAGTGTTAAGGACACAGGGAATTTTCCCAGCTCTTCCTCCTCTATCAGACATTCTCACCATACCTGAGAGTGTCCAGTCTCCAGTGTGGATCCTTCAGTCCAGCCGATAGCAGCTTCATTCCTGAGTCGCCTGGATGATTGTAGCTCAGGTCCAGCTCTCTCAGATGGGAGCGGTTGGAGCTCAGAGCTGAGACCAGAGAACTACAGCCTTCCTCTGTGATTAGACAGCCTGACAGACTGAAGACAAACAAAAAATAATATGTAAGCTGAAGCACTGTTTTTTTTTTCTATCCACTGAGTTTATGTGAATAGTGAAGCCTTCTACTACTTGAAATTTGATTTTGAACCAAGTGCCACCCACATATCTGTACCGGTGGTTGAGTGATTTTCTTTTCTGACAGTCTACACTGCCTCGGTTATATACAAGAGAAAAGTCAAATCAAATCAAAAGATAACATGGTTTTGTCTGAACCCAGTGTTTTTGACCTATGTTGGTGAATTCAGAGTTATCAAATTGATAGGGTCTATCCCCAACAAAAACAGTGGCAAGGTCCTTTGAGAAAGAGAAAGGGAAGGTTCACAAGATGGCAGTGAAATCTGTTTTAATGTATGATTTACAGACAGGGTAGCTGAAGAGGATAATGAGGTGGAAGATTTCTTTTCTGCTGTATTGATCACTTTAGTAATAGTGATATCACTTTCTTACTTACTTATATGCATGCAGGATAGCACCACAGATGCTCCTTATGCTCTATCACACATACTTTAAGCAAATAGTGGGGCTTCTTCTGAAAAAGACATGTCAACCAGGCCTAACTAAAACATGACTGTAATTGAATTACTTAATCCATTTTCTAAACTGATTATCAATTCAGGTTGAAAGCAGGGCTGGAGTGCTCCCCCAGGTTTTAGTGGGTAAGAGACAGGATACACTTTATATAATAATATATAATAAGAATAACGCAATTCTTGAAAAAAACCTCCATACCTAAAAATAGAAACAAAACTTTATGGATTTTGTCAACTGTATTACTGCTGAAGTAATGATCTCGCAGAGGACAAAAATGACTGCTTAAAAATAAATGATTGAGCAATGAAAGGAAATGGCCATGCACAATCAATACAATATACAGAAAAATCTCGAGATTGAACAGTGCAAAGTTATTTTTAAAAAATGAGACAAAGAAAAAGAACAAACACATTTACATGTGTTTATTTAACCAATTTCACTGTCTGTTCAATAATGAAATTTCAAGACATTCAATTAAGACATCCAATGATCACATCAAATATCAAAGTCTGAATTCTGACCTTAGAGTTTCTAGTACACAGCATGGATTCTTGAGTCCATCAGACAAAAGTTTCACTCCTGAATCATACAGGTCATTGTTACTCAGGTCCACCTGTCTGAGACTAAAAGACTGGGAACTGAGAACTGAGGACAGAGCTTCACAGCTTCTCTCTGAGAGGTTACTGCCATTTAGACTGCAAGTAAAATAAGCAAAAACAATAATATCAGCAATCATATGAAGTAACCCTAACCCTAACACAAAAATGGCTCTTCTCACATTTGCCAAAAAAAGCTTGATGATTTCCAAGACTTTGTTGCCAAAATTTCTCCACAAGTACGTGAAAGACCAATTCCAAGTTTTAGCAAGCACTTCACCACAGATGACTGACAAACTCATATATCTCACTCTGAGGACTGAAAAGGATTTAATTTAATGGTCAAATGGCATACATTTTCATTAATTCAGATTTTTACAGTAAAAGGATGAGGACATATTTACTCACACAGCTGTGTTTGAGGCTTTGACCACTGGCAACAGCATCAGAAGAGCCTCCTCTGAAGCAGAGTATTTCTTCAGGTCAAACACTTCCAGATCTTTTTCTGATGACAGTAATATGAAGACCAGAGCTGACCACTGATCAGGAGACAGTTTATCTGTGGAGAAACTTCCTGATCTCAGGGACTGTTGGATCTCCTCCACTAGAGAATGATCATTCAGTTCATTGAGACAGTGTAAAAGATTGATGCTTTTTTCTGCAGACATATTCTCACTGAGCTTCTTCTTGATATACTGGACTGTTCCCTGATTGGTCTGTGAGCTACTTCCCATCTGTGTCAGCAGGCCTTGTAGGAGAGTCTGATTGGTCTGAAGTGAAAGACCCAGGAGGAAGCGTAGGAACAAGTCCAGGTGTCCATTTGGACTCTGTAAGGCTTTGTTCACAGCACTTTGATAAGTATTTTGCTTTGCAGATTCTCTTGTTTCAGCTTTCAGAGAGGTTGTTGGTTCTTCCAGTAAATTGAGTCCAGCGTTGATGATGGTCAGATGGACATGAAGAGCAGCCAGAAACTCCTGAACACTCAGATGGATGAAGCAGAACACCTTATCCTGGTACAGTCCTCTCTCCTCTTTAAAGATCTGTGTGAACACTCCTGAGTACACTGAGGCTGCTGTGATATCGATGCCACACTCTGTCAGGTCTGATTCATAGAAGATCAGGTTTCCTTTCTGCAGCTGATCAAAAGCCAGTTTTCCCAGAGACTCAATCATCTTCCTGCTCTCTGGACTCCAGTGTGGATCTGTCTCAGCTCCTTCATCATACTTGACTTTCTTCACTTTGGCCTGAACCACCAGGAAGTGGATGTACATCTCAGTCAGGGTCTTGGGCAGCTGTCCTCCCTCTCTGGTTTTCAGCACATCCTCCAGAACTGTAGCAGTGATCCAGCAGAAGACTGGGATGTGGCACATGATGTGGAGGCTTTGTGATGTCTTGATGTGGGAGATGATCCTGCTGGCCTGCTTCTTATCTCTGAATCTCTTCCTGAAGTACTCCTCCTTCTGTGGGTCAGTGAACCCTCTGACCTCTGTCACCATGTCAACACAGTTAGAAGGGATCTGATTGGCTGCTGCAGGGCGGGGGGTTATCCAGAGGCGAGCAGAGGGAAGCAGTTTCCCCCTGATGAGGTTTATCAGCAGCACATCCACTGAGGTGGACTTTCTAGGGTCAGTTAGGTTTGTAGTTTTGTGGAAGTCCAGAGGAAGTCGACACTCATCCAGACCATCAAAGATGAACACAACCTGGAAGTCTTCAAAGCTGCAGATTCCTGCTTCTTTGGTTTCAGTAAAGAAGTGATGAACAAGTCCCACCAAGCTGAACTTCTCCTCTTTCAGCACATTCAGCTCTCTGAAAGTGAATGGAAATATGAACTGGATGTCCTGGTTGGCTTTGTCTTCAGCCCAGTCCAGGGTGTATTTCTGTGTTAAGACTGTTTTCCCAATGCCAGCCACTCCCTTTGTCAGCACTGTTCTGATTGGTTCATCTCTTCCAGGTGAGGCTTTAAAGATGTCTTCTTGTCTGATTGTTGTTTCTGGTCTGTCTGGTTTCCTCGATGCTGTTTCAATCTGTCTGACCTCATGTTCATTATTGACCTCTGCAGTCCCTCCCTCTGTGATGTAGAGCTCTGTGTAGATCTGATTCAGAAGGGTTGGGTTTCCTGCTTTAGCGATCCCCTCAAACACACACTGGAACTTCTTCTTCAGTGTAGATTTAAATTCATGCTGATGCCACTGCAAGTTCCTAGTGCAAGTTCCTGAGTGATACACACACACAAATCAAGGATTCATCAAGTGCACATGTTTTGCATGTATTCTTGGCCATTTCTTGAGACATTGTTGAATGTTTTATCACCATAAAAATTTAGAGAATAATTCTCACTTCTCAGCAAACACTCAGTGAACTTATTCTGCTTCATTCTCTTCAGGAAGTCCACTGTAATCGTCACAAATGCTTCTCTGCTGCTCTTACTCGGTTCTTCATCCACACTTTGTAATACATTATCATCCTCACAATGACTCTTAAAACATTGTAGGTCATCTGGACTCAGATCTGTCTGGATCTTCTTCAGCTCGGTCTTCACAAAAGCGATGATTTTTTCCCCCAGTATCTGGAACGGTTTTTGGGAATCAGTTTAATTAGCTCGTTATACACGATCCCTCAATGAAAGTCAAACCGTGGCTCTCTAAATGAAGTGGGAAAAGGTAACAATCCACATTTCCACATCTAATTCTTTCTATTGCTCTTAAATCTAAATGTTGTCACAAAGTTATCACTCATATTGTTCATAAGAACACTTATCACACACAAACACACAACTGTAAGGATGCTCTATCTGCAGCGAAATCTGGATATTATGGAACATTTATCAGATTTGTGGTAGCAAACAGCAGAGCTCTTTTCTCTACTATAATCGTGTCTTTCAGCCACCTCAGTGTTACCACACTGCACAGTGTAATACTTGTATGGCTCTTTTCAGTACTATAATTTTTATGATCAATCAACAGCTGGCTGTAGGTAGTCCATATAGTACATTGTATGACCATACATTGTTATTCAGAGCTGAAGAGCCTAGGTGTTTCTCTTGATAGCGCCCTAAAGTTTGACATACTTATCAGTATTATTACTTGGGCATCATATTTCTACATAATATTACTTATCATCAGTGTTGGGACTAACGCGTTATTAAGTAACGCGTTACAGTAACTACGTTATTATTGTGGTAACGAGCACGGTAACTAGTTATTATGCCAAAACCAGGAACGCGTTACTCGTTACTGGGATTTAGATAGGCTCGTTATTCGTTACTTCGTGTGGTGGCTATCGCGGAGCTTCCACAGATTCAATAACATTAGCAAGTGGTGGAAGCCAGCAGGTGGATGAAGGAAAAGGGAGGCAAGAGGAGAGACCCGAAGCGGCCGCTGGTCCGAGAGTGTCAGGTGAACTGAACTTCAGGTAAGAAGTTATAACCTGCAGTCCATCTGGGTCAGATATGAACCAAGTTTAGGTGGAGTTTATTTTCGTTATGCTGACTTTTTCGTACTGCGTGCTAGCTAGCATGACGGAGTTTCTATACAGCTGGGTGGGTGCTATGTTACTGATGTTGAACTTTATTTTGTTCATAAGGTTAATTATTAGAGTTGCCAACCGTCCCGTAAAAAACGGAATCGTCTCGTATTCAGAGAAAATATTACGCGTTTCGTATTGAGGTGAAAAGGAAACACAGTTTGTCCCGGACTTCAGCTACAATGAAAAAGACACAAAGCTGGAGTTACTCTGTGTCTTTGCTGCACAGCTGCCTCTTCTTCTCTCATCCTCTCCCCTCCCTCTCCTGTTTCTACTTCAATCATGAAACTGATCAATGATCAGCTGATCGGCTTTTCTCTCTTGTTTGTTTATCGCCCACTTTGCGCCAGAAAGAGGAAACCAGCGGATGTCGCGTAAACAACAGCAGCACGTTTAAGCTTGATCAGCTGTTGTTAGAATTTATTTAATATTAATTTCTAGTATCAGCTGATGTTTGCTGGAGCCACAGCTGTAAACCTGCTGGTCATGATATCGGTTTGGTTATGTGGTGAGAGGGAAACATGAAGATGAAACCAGGAGATGTCCTTACTGAATCATCAGAGCTGTGATGGAGAAACAGGTTTACCTTTTAGGTGACATGAATGAGTTGAAGGGAAGTTATGAACTGTTTCTGAGAGACAAATAACACCAGGATCCTTTTCTAAGTAGCTGACAGCTGGTAACTGTGCAGGGGCGGGTCTAGCAAAGTGTTGCCAGGGGTCCATGTAGGGCATTAAAAGGGAAAGGGGGGCACAAGGAAATACTTTCTTATTCTCATTTAAAATGTCTCACTTTTAAAAAAATAATTATCTGAGTCTTACAACAAACAATTGATAGATTGATACATATATACCATCAGAACAGTGTACATCACTGTCACAACAGTGTTTATTTTCATTCAAAGGCTTTATGATTTTTCCTATAATGGTGGGCCGGTCTCTAGTCAAAATGCCCGGGACGATTTTTTTGTCCCAGTCCAGCCCTGTATGCAGCTCATCTGCAGTCTGGTGTTACCTACATCTTCCTATTCAGAAGGCAGAATTTCCGAGTTCTGAGTACAATCGAAAGCACCACGACTGCAGTTTTTGTGTTGGATGTAAAAAGCAGGCTAGGATAGAATCAGGCGTGGGATTTCTCTCGTGGAAATGTGCACATTATTTTTTCCTTTCTATTGGTAGGTGGCACAGTGCACTTGTGGCAAGTAAGCAAGCTAGAAGACTGGCAATCTTGCTGGGTATCCAGTTACGGAAGCAACACATTAACAAGAGAATTCTGAGTTAAACCAAAGTTACTTTCCCTAGTAACTAGTTACTCTGAAAGTAACGAGTAACTTGAAGTAACTGAGTTACTTTTGATAGAAGTAACTAGTAATGTAACTAAGTTACTAATTAAAAGTAACTTACCCAACACTGCTTATCATTCACCTAAGACTACTGCTACTCTTGTACAAGCTCTGGTTATATTCTCCAAAGTCTCCCCATAAAGTCACACATCCATATCTGATCTTCTGCACATCACCACTCTGTCCTCTACTCTGAGATCCTCCTCCTCTGCTACTGTTATTTTCCCATCTGCTCACATTACCCTCCATTGCTTTCAGCTGAATGGCCACGAGAACTTTCTTCAACACCATTCACAACATTAATTCTCTCACTACCTTTAAAGTAGCCTGAAAACACATCTTTTTAAACTTTTCTGATTCATTTTATGCAGTGTTCACTACAATACTACTTAATACTATGTAGTATTGTGTATGTTCTCCTTTAAACCTCACAAGCCATTCTGTAATTTTGTTATTTAATTGCTTGTGAGGTTTACTTGATTTTTAAATAAAATGTTATTTTATTCCATTTATTATTTTTGGCCTGCCCAGCAGCCAAAGCATGCCTTCTGAACCAGAACCAGGCATGGAGATGACTGTGAACAGAATAGATGTAAAAGTAGTTGTTGTACATGTACAGACCATAAATATGGAGTCCAGGTGTGCTTGATGCTGCTGGGCAAACTGTCCACTGGGAACCTCTAAGCTCTCCTTGTCCACTCTGTGGAGGAATCATGAAAAATTAGAATAATACAACAAAACATTACAACCTTAAATTCAACCTGCTGTTCTTCGGTATGTGGCAGCAAGTTTTTCACACCAGCCTATTAATCAACGAAAGACCAAGACAGACTTTTAATTCATTTGAAAGCCTGATGCTTAGCCTTGTCCACCCCAGCTGTAGAACTCAGAAACCAGTCTTACTTGTAGAAATGTGTCGGTTACAAACGAAACTGCTCTTAGAGCCGGATCTTTGAAGTGAACGACACAAGCTTATTTTGTTTTCATATTTTAATTTATATTTTATTGTGTTGTGGTTTGCAGTGTTTTGTGTTGTTTCACTTTAAATTTGTTTAAAAGGAGAAAGTTGAAAATTTAAATAGTTTAAAGTTGAAATGTAAATAGTTGGTTTTTCTATTATATTATTTATTACGTTTTCTGTGGATTGAATAAATAAAAGTACATTTACGATGGCCCCTAGAGACAAAGCGCGTACCAACTCCAAAATTATATATAAACATATATAAATAAACCCTGTTTTTTTACATTAGTAATTCCTTTTGTTCATAATTTTATATTATTGTTAATAATAAATTAATTAAAGCAAGAAAACATCCTGAAGAGCCGGTTGGGAGCTGAAAGAGCCGCATCTTTTTAGTGAGCCAAGCCGAAAGAGCCACATCTCCAAAAAGAGCTGGAAATCCCATCAATACTTACTTGTTATCATCTATCGTCCATCTGGGCCTTACTAGTGATGTGTCGGTCACGAACGAAGCGGCTCTTAGATCCAACTCTTTGAAGTGAACATTGCCATCCGGCTCCTTATTGGGAGCCGTGGTTTTTGTTTTGTTATTTCTTTCTCTCACCCTCTCTCTCTCGCACTTTTGTTCCACTTTACTCCACACACGAGCCTTGTGATAGCTCTGGGCAGAGGGGGAGGGGCAGTAGTTACACTCACAGTAGCACAGGAACAGAGCGGGAGAGAGAGAGAGAGAAAGAGAGCCAGGGACAACAATGTCACATTAGAAAAATATAGTAATCATCCACAACTTTTTTCAGTTGCGGACGATAAAGGATTCAGAAAGTTTATTCATGCAGGCCTATATGACAGAGAATGTGCATCTTCTTTTTGTTTTGCATAATTTAATTTATATTTAATTGTGTTGTGGTTTGCAGTGTTTTGTTGTTTCACTTTAAATTGATTTAAAAGGAAAAAGCTGAAAATTTAAATAGTTAAGAGTTGAAATGTAAATACTTGGTTTTTCTATTATATTATTTACTTATTACATTTTATGTGGAGTGAATAAATAAAAGTACATTTACGGTGGCCCCTAGAGTTAAAGCACGTACCAACTCAAAAACATGTACGATCTCCAAAACACGTAAAAAAACAAAAGAAGTGTTCCAGGATGCTAGGGGCATTGTTGAGGTCTTGTTTCCTAGTGGCTACACAAGTCAGGAAGTACCAAAGACTGGAATTGGTGTGTGGTAGTAACAAGTATTTGCGACCAAATTGGTCGCACTCTAGAGCCCTGCTACCAAACACCAAATCCGGTCGTTGGTACTTCCTGGCTTGTGAAGATACTAGGTAACAAAAGCTCAACACTGCCGGAGCACTTCTGTGTGTTTTGTACGTGTTTTGGAGTTTTTACGTGTTTTGGAGTTTGTACATGCTTTGGGGTTTGTACGTGCTTTGGGGTTTGTACGTGCTTTGGGGTTTTTACGTGTTTTGGAATTTGTACGTGTTTAGTCTCAAGTGGCCAACGTAAATATATGTCTGTGAAGGTTCTCAGTCATCCAGGTCATCGTAGTCTAAGGAGCTTGGAAAGAAAAGCGTCTGGACTTCTTTGAGTTGCTTGAAGACGTTTCACCTCTCATCCGAGAAGCTTCTTCAGTTCTAAGGTCAAATGGTGGAGAGTCCCAGATTTAAACCTAGTGGGAGTTTCCCCCCAAAGAGGGACAAAGGACCCCCTGATGATCCTCTACCTAATCACATGAGCCAAGGTGTGAAAGCGGGTGTGGGTCACAATCAGCCAGGGTTTCGGGTGAGCTCATTGTGAAACCTGGCCCCACCCTATCATGTGATTTCCTGAGGTCAGATGGCCCAGGATGTGAGTGGGCGTTAAGGCGTCTGGGAAGGGATCTCAAAACTGGATTATAGATGGCAGACAGTTGGTGTCGTAAACCACCGCCTCTGTTCAAAGATGGTCGCTCACAGTGGACATAGATGGCTTCTTTCACTCCTCTTTCAAACCATCTGTCCTCTCTGTCCAAAATGTGAACATTGGCATCCTTGAAAGAGTGACCTTTGTCCTTTAGATGCAGATGGACTGCTGAGTCTTGTCCTGTGGAGGTGGCTCTTCTATGTTGTGCCATGCGCTTGTGAAGTGGCTGTTTGGTCTCTCCGATGTAGAGGTCTGGGCATTCCTCGCTGCACTGTACAGCATACACCACATTGTTAAGTTTGTGTTTAGGAGTTTTGTCTTTCGGGTGAACCTTAGTTTTCTCCTTTTTTTAAAAAAAGAATCGATAAGAGAATCAATAAAGGATTGAATCATTAAACAGAATCGAAAATGGAATCGGAATCGTGAAAATCTTATCAATACCCATCCCTACCCGGATGTCACGGAGCCACAGATGACCAAAACAGACATGGAGACGGTCATTCATTGAGGACCTTAAAGCGGTTGAGCTTTCATGGGACAAGGCGGAAGATTTAGCTGTAAACTGAGCTCGTTGGCGATTCCTTGCTGCCCAATGCACCATTCAGCTCAGGAGGAACTAAGTCTAAAGTAAGTAAACATTTACTATGCAGATGACATATGTCACATGTCTAGTTTTGGTCCATTAAATATACAGTATCTCAGAATTGAATTCAAAGATAAAGTCAATATCCAAAGAGAAATCAAGAAAAAGCATGGGTAGATTACATAATTGGTTGTTGCATTAATATTTTACAGAAAAATATTTGAAGTTGGGATTTTTCAGGGTCCAATCTTGCCCATTTGAGAGATATCTAAAAAAATATATATCCGCCAAAGATCTGAATATTATATACATCTCATATTATATATCTTCTGAAAACTATTATTCAGAGTTTAAGTTTCTCAGACTGCAATATTGTCCATTTACTGAGAAATCTCAAAAGTGTGTCCATCAAAAATCCAGAGCACATTCTTCCAGATGCTCTCTGTATCTGTGATTCACGCGAAGGTATTACTGCCTTGGATATTTTATTCCTAAAAATATTTGTACAGTTTATAATCTCATCTACGAAAATCAAAGTCAAAAATCAAACTCAAAGTCAAAGAAAAGATAAATGTATAAAATTAAAAAGCAATGAGGAATCACTGGAGGACAGTGCAGGGGAGACTACAACAGTAAATACAAGAGGTAATGAGGAAAAAGGGAACAGGAGTGCAACATTTTTGAAACGACTCGTGAAAAATGAGAGAAGTAAATTGAATAACAAACACACGTGACAACAGGTTACCAAAATAAAACAGGAAATACCTATACAAACCGATTGAGACTTGAAATGAGATGACAGACCACTGGGCAAAATACAATTGATGGAAAAGTATTCCTAACAAAATCATTACAATAAAATTTATAATGGGATAGCTCTTTCCATGGGGATAGACTGAGGACACAAACATTTAAAACAATGTAAAGCAGTCAGTGTACAACTTGTATAACAGTGTAAATTTTTGTCCCCTCAAAATAACTCAACATACAGCCATTAATATCTAAACTATTGGCAACAAATGTGATTACACCTCTCAGTGAAAATGTCCAAACTGCCCAAAGTGTCATTATTTCATGCCTTAACTCTGTGGGGCATGGAGTTCACTAGAGCTCCACAGCGTGCCACTGGAATCCTTTTCCACTCCTCCATGATTACAGCATAGAGCTGGTGGATGTTAGAGACCTTGTGCTCCTCCATCTTCCGTTTGAGCATACCCCACAAATGCTCAATAGGGTTTAACTCTGGAAACATGTTTGGCCAGTCAAGTACCTTTACCCTCAGCTTTTCTAGCAAGGCACTGGTCTTTTCAGAGGTGTGTTTAGGGTCATTATCATTTTGGAATCCTGTCCTGTGGCCCAGTTTCTGAAGGGAAGGGATCATGCTCTGCTTCAGTATGTCACAGTACGTTAGCATTCACGTTTCCCTCGATGAACTGTAGTTCCCCAATCCCGGGATGAACTGTAGCTCCGCAATGCCAGCAGCACTCATGCACTCTCAAACAATGACATCCCACCACCATGCATGGCTGTAGGCACGACACATCTGTCTTTGTACTCCTCACCTGGTTGCTGCCACACACCCCTGACACCATCTGAGCCAAATAAGTTTATCTGGGTCTCATCAGACCATAGGTAATCATGTCCTTAATCTGCTTGTCTTCAACAAACTGTTTGAGGGCGTTCTTGTGCATTATCTTTAGAAGAGGCTTCCTTCTGGGATGACAGCCATGTGATGCAGTGTGCGGTGTATGGTCTGAGCACTGAGAGGCTGACCCTCCACAACTCCGGTGGACTCACTTTTGTTGCCAGTGGTTAAGACGTTAATGGCTGTGTGATGAGTTATTTTGAGGGGACAGCAAAAGGTGACACTGTTATACAAGCTGTACACTGACTACTTTACATTGTATCTTCTCTTTGGCTCTTGACGAAGGCGGTCACACTTTTCTCCTCTCCCTTTCCCTTATCTTCCCTGCTTGGCTTCTTGTGTCCTTGCATAGTCTCGTCTACTTTTCTGCTCTTGCTCTGGAACACTCTCTCACAGTCTGTTCTCTAAAACCTAAAAGAGGAATCATGGATTTGATCAACTGGTCCCTGAATGCAATTGACACCCTTTTCTTTTTTTCCTATCAGCCGACCTCTCTGACATGTCTCCCCAATGTGATGTTTGTGTAAAGTTGGTCAGAAGGTTCCTTTGTAAGTGCGTATGCGCCATTAGCGTGCTGCCTGCTGTGACCTAATTTCCTTCGGGATTAA